TAGATCAATGTTTTTTTAGACATGTACATTGTAATTCATATGTATTATATCTTGCTAAGAGTTAATTTTATTTAAAACTGCATTTTTAAAGTTACCACACGAGCTTGATTATCCAGAGAGATGATAAAACAGTTGGAAAAAAAAAGTAATTTTGCGGCAATATATTTGATATTATAGCATTATAAGTATTCATACTTATTTATAAAGCATTTATATAATAAAAATTATGGTCTTAATAATGTATTATTTAAATAAATCGCAAATTTATGTCAAAAGTTGATAATATCGACACTCTGCAATTACCTCCGGGCCCACCGGGCCCATTTGCTGGCACGAAAATTTGCCCAGGGCTGTCGGTCTTTAACAGTTTCTCGTCGGTGTTATTACTAATTACTAACATATTAGTTATAAATTATTAATAATTATTTTTTTAAAACGATCGATAAACTGTATATTGTTTTGTACGTACATACGTGAGTGAACTTTTAAATATAATTCTTTGAAAATAATTGCAGACGACTGTGGAGGAATTGGTTACAGCAACAGCTTATTTTGATTTGTTTCTTCGATCTGTAACTGATCCTGGCTTGTTACGGTCGCTTGTTAGATTTCTATTAGAAGATAATTATGATGACTGTAGAATACTGGATAGTTTAATACAAAGGATTTCTTCTCGATCAAGGGTAAATTAGAAAACTTTTAAGTATAACATATTTGGTAGAATATTTCTTGAATATAAACTTGTTTCTAATATTTTATTTTTGAATTTAGTTATGTATAGTTACTCTGGCATTGTTTGAAACTCTGGTTAATTTAAATTGCGAGGATGTTATGTTGGAATTGTGTTTGGGTGCATTAAATCCATGTTCACACGTAATGCTTTCTCAACGTAGTCGACTGAGAGATATAGATCCTTTTGGACGTGCAGCAGAAAAATTTTTATCTCTGACACCACGTTGTTGTTCTGTATTTACGTCATTGGACTCGCAAACAAATTCTTTACCTAGCACTGTATCATCTACATATGATAGATATGGATATATCACATCTGATTCTATGATATCGCTACCGACATCGATAAATTACGGTACTAGATTAACAGATAGCTTATATGGAAATTATCATGCATATCTCTGTGATGCTAGACAAAAAATTAAAGCTTGCCGTATTGCGTGTTCCAATTGGTCTTGTCAATATGATGGTAATTTACTTCGAAATAGCAATACTAATAGCATGATTACATTGATAAATGAAAATATTGTATCTGATCAATCACAGAAAAAGGCAGCAGAAGCTAGAACATTGGAAATGATTAAGAATGCAATGAAATCGTGCGAAAATGATGATGATGTACCATTGGACAACGTATTACTTAATGTTCAATCTTTGTTGGAGGGCAAAGATTTAAACAGTAATAAACATAATGTTAAAAACGAAATCAACATGGATATTGCACTGTCTTTTGACGAACAGGCACAATTGGATGCTGATATTGCAGAGTTGTTGAACGAAAATATCGAAATGACAGAATGTACAAAGGAAACTTATTTAGATAAGAAAGAATCCGATAGCTGCATAGACGATTCGACCACGGCGATGAATTCACTTATATCATTAGGCGAGAGTAGCGGCTACGAAAGCATTGCGTTTAAAGGATCGCCAGAGTCAACACCGGACAACGAGACCAATGAAGATATGAGTGAGCATGAAGAAACGCATGTTATAATTAAGAAAGAGATTGATGATGTCGTTATGCGTAATGTCGCGGAATCAAATCTTCCGATAACTGCGGAAACATCGAGTAAATCAAATAAAGACACTTTCTATCGACAGGACGTGTTTAATGGACAGCCAAATGTCGGTATATTTTTAGATGTGATTTTACGGAAACTCGAATGTATGACAAGCAATAATTTGTATGTAAATTTACATCTTACGGGTCTTATTAGCAGATTGGCAGTATATCCACAACCTTTATTGCAATCGTTTCTGTTAAATCATTCTCTTGTATTTCAACCCAGCATCAGATCTTTGTTTCAGGTATATATTTATCGAGTTGCTGTAGCATTTATGATTAAAATTCTAACAATATATAGCAAAATATTGAATTTTTTCATATTTTATTTAGATTGAATGAATAAAATAAGTAATAATTGATCAATTTGTAAAAAAAATTAAATTAAAAGCAATACAAGTCAGCAAGCGCAAATATTCACATTTTAATCAAAACCTTTTATAGTGTTCGTTAAAAACATTCTTTTTAATATTTATTATAAATAATATAAATCATACCGTATCTATATTTTTGAGGTTTGTTCAAAAAATGAAACAATATCTTTTTTAAGATTCAAAATCTCTTCATTAAATTTTTTTATGCTGAAGAAATGTGATCAGAAATAGTCAAGTAATATTTTAAATCAAATTTGGTCCCCCTTTTTGTAATTTTATATGAAATGACTGCGGATTCGTATTTAGATATCCCCAAAACTTTAATTTATGAAAATAGAAAAATTTTCTAGCCCCCTGTGCTTTAGTAATTGAAGTTTATTCCAAAAATTTTTTGACGACAGTCCATTCTAGTCGCGATTCTGGAATTTTTAAAAAGATCATACGGCATCAAAAGGTAGACACTTCAACGGAAATTTTAAGAAATATTTTATTTCAAAAATTGAAGTAGGCAGGGGGGAAAATTGAAGTAGGCTGGCCTTTTTGACAGAGAATGCCCCATATATATGTACATATAAATTAAAATATAAATATTTGTATATTTAAATATATATATATATTTATTATAAATATATATATATATATATATATATA